ATACAAGTCCTTCGGTTGATCTCTTATCTCCCCCACATCTCCCTACCCTCTCTGCTGTAATTTGACAGTCTGTTTGTTTTTTTCTTAATATATTTTATTGATTTTTTACAGAGAGGAAGGGAGAGAGATAGAGAGCTCGAAACGTCAATGAGAGAGAAACATCGACCGGCTGCCTCTTGCACACCCCCTACTGGGGATGTGCCCGCAACTAATGTACATGCCCCTGACCGGAATCGAACCTGAGACCTTTCAGACTGACACTCTACCACTGAGCCAAACCGGCTTTGGCTGACAGTCTGTTTGTTGTTTTATTATCTCTATATCTATCTTTTGGTTCATCAGTTTATAATGTTCTTTATTATCCATAAATGAGTGAGGTCATGTGGTGTTTCTCTTTCATTGACTGGCTTATTTCACTAAGCATGATGTTCTCCAATTCCATCCAGGTTGCTGCAAATGATAAAAATTCCTTCTTTTTTATGGCAGCATAGTATTCCACTGTGTAGATGTACCTTGGTTTTTTGATCCAATCATCTGTTGACGGGCACCTAGCCTGTTTCCAAATTCTAGCTGTTGTAAATTGTGCTGCTATGAACATAGGGGTGTATACATTCTTTCTGATTGGTGTTTCTAGTTTCTTGGGATATATTCCTAGGAGTGGGATTACTGAGTCAAATGGGAGTTCCATTTTCAGTTTTTTGAGGAAACTCCATACTGTTCTCCACAGTGGCTGCACCAGTCTGCCTTCCCCCCAGCAGTGCATGAGGGTTCCTTTTTCTCTGCAACCTCGCCAACACTTGTCACTTGTTGATTTGTTGATGTTGGCTATTCTGACAGGTGTGAGATGGTACCGCATTGTTGTTTTGATTTGCATCTCTCAGATAATTAGTGACTTTGAGCATGTTTTCATGTGCCTCTTGGCCTTCCTTCTGTCTTCTTTTGAAAATATTCTATTTAGGTTCGTTACCCATTTTTTAATTGGCTCATTTATCTTCCTTTTATTAAATTGTATAAGCTGTCTGTAGATGTTGGAGATTAAACCTTTATCAGTGATAACATTTGCAAATATATTCTCCCATATAGTGGGCTTTCTTGTTGTTGTGTTGATGGTTTCTTTTGCTGTAAAAAAGCTTTTTATTTTGATGTAGTCCCATTTGTTTATTTTCTCTTTAGCTTCCATTGCCCTAGCAGCAGTATCAGAGAAGAAGTTCTTTTGGCATATGTCTGAGATTTTGCTGCCTGTGGATGAAGGATATTTCTTCCATTGATTTTTAGAGATGGGGAGAGACACACAGAGATAAATATTGATGTGAGAGAGGCACCCCAATTGGTTGCCTCTGGCACGTTCACCATCTGGGGTTGGGGTTTGAACCTATTACACTCCATTGCGCAGGCTGACACTCTAACCACTTGAAAATACTAGCCAGGGTTGCCGCTGTTGTTTTGTAAAATGAGGATGATACTGTAACAAGACAAACAATGGGTCCATGGTGCCTGTCACTATTCAATCCAATTAAGCAGAGACAGTGTTGAATCATATATGAGAATTTATTCCAATAATGCTGGCAGTTTGGGAGAATAGCAGGTTGTCCACAAACAACTGTTCTGCCCCCCACCATAAACTGACTGCTTTTATAGGTAGAAGTTCAAGGAAAGTAGGGAAAAGGGCAAATGGGCAGTTTACAGATACATGAAAAAGGGCTGAGGGTCTTCAAAGGGGTTGGTGATATGCAATGGCTGGGGTTACTTGGGGAAATAAGGAGAGGGTAGGCAATGTGAGCAGTTCATAGGTAAGCAGAGGGCTTGGGATCTTCAAGGGGCTTAGTGATATGCAAAGCTTGGGGTCTTCAAAGGGCTGGCAATTTTGGTTTCTGCAACAAAGTTGTCAATTTTTCCATGATAATCAGGAGCTCCAAATTGGGAGGGTGGGCTGCACTTCCAGGTGAGCTCCCAGGTCCTGAGTGCAGCTGCCACCAGGTTGGAATGTGCCTTCTTTAATGTGAATTAAACAACCACAGTTAACAGAACATGATTAACATTTCTTACAATACTAGCTGGTTCCCTAACATTTTATTTCTGCCCCCTTTCAGTAGTAGTGCCTGTCATCATAGGGTTTGTGATGATTAAATTTGTCAACTTGACTGGGCCACAGTGCCCAGATATTGGGTCACACATTATTCTGGATGTTTCTATGAGGGGTTTTTAGATGAGATGAACAGAAATTAGTAACACTGGAATTAGAAGGGCAGATTGCCCTCCACGTTGTGGTTAGCCCCGTGTAGTCAACCGAAGGCCTGAATAGAACAGAAGACTGACATGCCCTGAGCTAGAGAGAACTCTGCCAGCCAACAGCTGCATCAGCTCTTTTCTGGGTCCCTGCAGGTTTTGGACCTGCCAGTCTTCAAAATTGTGTGAGCCAATTCCTTAGACTAAATCTCTCTTTATAAATATACACATCCTATTGGTTCTGTTTCTCTGGAGAACCCTGTCTAATACTGATTTGTCATTAGGGTTAAATAATTTATACATGCAATACTTAAAGATTAGGACAGGAGTGGGTGGCTGTACTCTCGGACTCTAACTTCAGTGTTTGCATCTGTCTGGATTCAGCTTCATGGGTGCCTATGTTCTCTTGCTCTTTGAACACACCGAAGGCTTCTGAAAATACCCGCATTCCCTCAATAAAATTGAGGGCCATTTGGGTCCCCTCCAAGGTCAGCCACTGTTTCTGTCATCTGAAAGGGACCAGGACAGGGCTGAAATTTGTCTGTCTGGCAGGGCTTAGAATGCATGGGCTCTTGACTTTGTGCAGGAAAGAATTCAAGACGTGGTGTAGGTGATTTTGAGAGTGTGTTTATAAAAGCAAAGGAAGGGCTTAGGATAGAAGAAGCAAGATCATAGTACCAGAATTGAGTCTAGGCAGACCATAGCAAAGGAAAGGAAGTCATAGGAACAGAATTAAGCCTAGGAGGGTCTGCTTTGTGCTCACTGAAAAGTGATTAAGAGGAGGTTCCCACAGCTTAGGAGAAAGAAAGTAAAATTATGTGCAGGAGAAAAGGGGTGGGGCACAGAGCATGCACTGGGCCCTTTGGGAAGCTATTTCTGTCTTTTGCAGGGAATTTTAAGGGAGGCCTCAATCAGAATATTCATCAGCTTTCGAGGTGTGTCTTTTACTATGCTGATGCATCAATATCTGGTCAAATTCACCTCCATCTTGGATTTGTTAGGCTCTAATTATTATTTTTTTTCTTTGTATTTATTCCCTGACTTTATTCATTTAGGTTTAGCTGGCACTAATGGCACTAATGGGTTTCTGTTACCTGTCTCTCTGTCTGGGGTTATTTAAGCTCCCTGCTCTCTGGTTGAGAAGGAGAGATGTAAACCACCTGCTCCTAAGGGTCCTTGGTTAGGGAGGAGAGGGACTTGTGATTTATCAGCTGGATGTTAATTGTTCAGCTGTTCCTCTTAACTAGTTTGTCTCATTCCACTAGTTTTTTCCTCATTCCACTTGTCCAGGAATTTTCCTAGCTTCTTAGTATCCTGCCTGACATGACAGGAAGTGGGAGGTTGATCCTTGCAATGACTGTCTACCTTGTGGCCCCACAATTGGCAGAGCCTCCCACTGAGAGTTGAAATTTGGAGGACAGTGCCTGGGATAGGCCCTGAGCAACCAGGCTTCACCTGCAGCTTCCTGTGGAGAGGAGCTGAGCTTCCTCTACAAGATTCTGGATTTTACCTTGAGAATGAATAAATTAGAACCAATAAATGGGCTCTATCCCATGTAATGTGACACCCAGTGCAGGGGTTGTCCTGAGACTATTCTTCCATGCTTCTCAGGTTCTTAAAGGAGAGCTTTGGCCTTTAGATGAAGAAAGAAGCTCTCAGACATATTGGCAGGTTTCTTTATTTCTCCTAAGATAGCTGAGGACATCAAATTAAGAATCAAATCATATACCTGCCACCTTCAGCAGAAAACTGGGGACACAGGATTACACTTAAATCAACAAGTTCATTGTGTAAGCTTTCTTGATTTTGGAGGTGGAGAGCCAGAGTCTTGGGTGCAGAGTCCTGATGATATCATGCCTCTGCACAAGCTTACCTGCCTGGGATCAGAAAGCAGCCACAGTTACATGGATCTTAGTAAAAGAGTATCCTTCTCTAGTACAGGCATCTGGCTAGACTCCATTTCCATTAGAGGAACAGCTCCAGGAGCTGGGATACAAAGTTCTAAGAGTTGGGATCCAAAGTTCAGTAGTTTTCTCATTCAGAAGAAGGTCCTGACAGAGTTGGCCAAATGTATTGAACATGTTAGCAATGTGACCTGAGCAAAAAAGTAATGAGTTCAGGAGGTGGCACCTCTGCACATTATTATGAAAGAACTGGGGCTTCTGTAAGGGCACAGGCCATGGCACCTAAATCGGTGTAAGGGTATGGAATGACTTTTCATAGCAGGAGTTATCTAAGCTAAGACCGGGATCCATTCCCCCTGTGGCCTCGATCTTCACCTCTCTTGTGGCTCTAGGAATCCAGTAGACTTCAGAATCAACTAGGCACAATTTGGACTAATAGACAAACACAGCTCAACATGGACAAGTGAAAAATAAATCTGTTTTTGCCCATACTCCTAGCCATTCCAAACCTTCAAGATATCCATTTCCACTGTCTATCTTTAGCCAGAAGTGACTTTTTTTTTGCATGTGAATGGCACAGGGCGGGCTGTGGTGGCCACTGGACAAGGCTCTTGGGAGAGGTTTCTATAGGTTGGAAGACATCATGCCAGCTCCAGAGACACATTCCTCCAGAGGCTGCCGTTCTACTTGGACAGTTGGCCTGTGTAGGCAGTCTGGAAGCCTGTGTGGCAGCACTGAGCATGGACACATGGTGCCCAGGAAAGCCATCATCAAAACACCATAATGTTAGATCTAGAAGGCAACTCAGTCGGAAATGTGTTTGCTTATCTATCATCTATCTATCTATCTATCTATCTATCTATCTATCTATCTATCCTCACTGAGGACATGATTAGAGAGAAGCCAGAGGGAGGGGGAAAAGAGAGAGAGATACATACATTGTTGTGAGAGAATAACATCAGCAACATTATACATTGCTTTCCATACATGTCATGACTGGGAATCGAACCTGCAACCCAGGTATATGTCTTGACCAGGATTCGAACCAATAACCCTTCCATGCACAGGATGACACTAACCAACTGAGCCACTCTTGCTGGGTGGTGGCCATGTGTTTAGACTTGTAGAAACCTAGACCCAAAACCTGGACAGTCAGAGCCAGGACTCATAAGCAGGTGTTCAGACTTCAGCTGCTGAGCTTGTCTGTAGCCTCACCCCCCTACCCTCCTAGTCTCCTCCACTGCGTCACTTCTCCCAGAGTTCCTCAATTAGGTGAGGATGGGTCTCCTTAAGGGCTTGGAAGAGCTGATCTTTGCAGGACCAGTCCCAGGACTTGCTGAAGCTGAACAGCGTCCTCATCTTGTCTGGATTGATGGGCTCAGCTCGCACCTTCTCATATTGCTCCTCGCTCAGCACCTGTCCATGAAGCTTGTCTAGGACTGCATCCACCGAAGTCACTCGAGCCACCAGCTGTGCCCGATGTTGGTCCACAAAGTGTAGTGAGTCTGGGGCATCTGGGGGTGAAGGTGAGTCTGACAATGAATAAAGAAGGGCTCTCACCACAGCTTCTACAGGCATCATCACCTGTAGTTCTGCACTCACCTGATCTGCATCGTTGGCTCCTCCCCCACCTATGAAAACATTGGACTTGCAGAGAGGTGCCTCTGCCTACCCTCAAATACCTGATGGAGGCATATTAGGTTGCCCATGGAAGGTGCCAGGGCCTCCGTGGGCAGAAATAAGGGTGATTGGAAAGGACTCTGCACTGGAGTACACACCACTCTCCAAAGACCAATTCTTTGTGAGGTGTGAAGACTACCCTCTTTCTCTCCTTCCTCCCTCCAGGTCCAGGTAGCACACTCCAGAACTTCCATGGCTTATGTGGTCTCTAACTTTGTTACTGACCTGCTAGGGCTGGAGAGACCAGAGTAGCTTCAGGTCTGAGGTCTCCTGGAAGAAAAGGGATATGAATAAGCATCAGTATTAGTGGTAGTTATTAACACAAGCAGTAGCCTTAAAAATCCTACTCCTGTCTCACTTCTGAGATTCTTTGATTCTTAGAAGTGGCTACAGACTAATTCTGATAGAAGTTGGAGTAAGCATTGTAAGGGCCCTTAGAGATTATGTAAGGGAATCCCTTCCATAAGCATATGGGGAAACTTAGTCCCAGAAGCCATGATCATAGACAGAGGGACACAGAGAGAGGGTAGTTTCTTCCTCAACAATGCAGACATGGTTTAATTTAATCTTGGCCTGAATGGAACCCTGGTAGAGAAATAACCAAGACCCTTACAACATAGCTTCCACTATGAAATCTCCTTATTTTGAGCAGAAGGCTACCTCTTTGTCCTTGGTCTCTAGACTCACACTGTTTTGAATTTTGATATAAAAATCAACATCAAGAAAAACTTAGCAGTAGGGTAATGCATAAATTTCAATAGGAAAAAGAAACAACAAAGGAAGAGGGTTACAAAATTACTTGCATAAGGAGAGAAAGGGGGAGTCCACAAAGCCACTGTGGACACAGCTTGAGCTTTTGAGCAGACCCAACTTCAGTGTGACCTGACAGTGTGGGAGGGAAACCAACCAGGGGAGCTCTGGCTGTGGTGCTGGGAGCAGCAGTTCTCTGGGATGGAGGGAGGAATGTGCTCCATGTCTTCCACGATGACTGGTCCTTATACTATTTATAAGGACTACGGCATGATATATGTACATACATCATGTATTTCATCTTTCCAACAACCCTACAATGTACACAATATAACCCTCTTTTTATAAATGAGACTCAGATGCGTTAAGTAATTTTCTCAAGATCACCCAGCAAGTAAGAGCCAGAGTAAGATTCAAATATGGTCTGATGCTGGGGCTGATTAGTCCAAGCTGTGATTGCACCCAAGCCAAGACTGAGTCACAACCATTCTCTTTCTCTGCACTGGGAAGCCTGTTTGTAACAGCTCACATGGGCTGATTTTTCTAGAAGGACTTTTTTTTTGGGGTTACTTCTTGAGAGTATTAGTGCTGCTTTAAGAAACTGTAAAATTGCTCTAACCAGTTTGGCTCAGTGAATAGAGCATCAGCCTGCAGACAGAAGTGTCCCAGGTTTGATTCTGATCAATGGCATGTACTTTTGTTTCAGGCACATCCCCAGTAGGGGGTATGCAGGAGGCAGCTGTTTGATGTTTCTCTTACATTGATGTTTCTAGATTTCTACCCATCTTCCTTCCTCTCTGTAAAAAATCAATAAAGTATATTTAAAAAAAAGAAACTGTGAAATTGCATTTATTCCTGCAAGTTCATTATTTGATTCCTGTTGTATACTTTGAAATATCAGTGATCTAAGGTAGTGTATGTGCTATTGCCATAACTGGCTTAATTCATACAACCATATAAACTTCTGGTTATTATTTTCTCATCTCATGTTCAATCTATTATGAGCAACTTTGTCAAATGACTTGAGGGTTTCAAAATCTGTTAAATCAAGGGCAGTGTAGAGACACCATGGTGTATGGGAGAGGGAATGGAGCTTAAAGTCAGATTTACTTGAGTTCAAATTCTAATCATGCCAACTGTTATATAACTAGAAAAAGTCACTTCCCTGGGCTATTTCTTCCCATCAGCAAATTGTGATATCTCTCTCTCTCTCTCTCTCTCTCTCTCTCTCTCTCTCTCTCTCTCTCTCTCTCTCTTTCTCTCTCTCTCTCTCTCTCCTCTCTCACACACCACACACAGAGATGCAGACTCTTTAATTGACTTTCTGTTTCCCACCACTGAGCTCCCCGGACTTGTCTTGACTTTACCTGATTTCACCAAGGCCTCCCATACCACAGTCTCATCATCTTTGCTTTTAATCTGCAGCCGAATCCCCGGCCCCAAATGACCAACGTAGAACTCAGTGAAGAGCTGGGGTTTCCCAGGGCTTCGATAGCAGAGCTCCAGTTCCTGTAGAAAAAGCGGTGATGTGAGAAGCCACCATTCATCCCACAAGTGAGGTGTCTCCCCATCTGACACCTTCTTGGCCCTGCTCAACCCCATGGGGACCTTTGAATGATCTCTACTGAAACTAATGTCACTTCAGACATTGCTCTTTTCCTCGTTTTTCACAAATCCTAACTCAGAAGGAAGAGGACATGGCTGGGGTCAAGACTCATCTCTAATGTAGTGCTCACATATCTTTAAAAAAAATATATATATTTTATTGATTTTTCACAGAGAGGAAGGGAGAGGGAGAGAGATTTACAAACATCGATGAGAGAGAAACATTAATCAGTTGCCTCTTGCACATCCCCTATTGGAGATGTGCCCACTACTAAGGTACATCTCTTGACCAGAATTGAACCTGGGACCCTTGAGTCTCCAGGCCAACGCTCTATCCACTGAGCCAAACTGATTAGGAGTGCTCACACATCTGAAACCAGATCCTTCTTTCTCCACCTCCTCCATCTTGAACTCAAATTAACATTTTTGCAACCCAAAGCCTGTCTTCTCAATGTATCCTAAGATTGACATACTTTCAATCAACAGAAAATTTATATGCTTGACACACTTTCAATTAATAGAAAATTTATATCCATCCTCTTTGCTAAATCACATTCAAGACAACTCTTGGTTCCCAATTGTCTTTCAAAAATGTTCTCTTCCCATTTTCCCCACCCTCAGTAAATGGCACTACCACCCCCTGAGCACTCATGATTCAGATTCAGGCATCATCTTGAACTCCTTCCTTTCGCTTTCATAAGCCAAGTCCTATTGGCTTTACCTGCAACATATACCCTCAATCTATCAGCTTATCTTCATCTCAGCTGTTTCTTCCCTAATCAAGGCATCTGCAGCTCCTGCCTGTACTATAGCAACAGTCTTTGGTTTTTACTCTTGTCTTCTTATCACCCATTCTTACCCAGGAGCCAGAGACATCTTATAAAACTAAAGCTAGTCTTGTATTACCAAGCAACAACCTCTGAGATCTGGTTATTGCACTTCAAACAAAATCTAAACTCCAGATCAGGGCAACATAGTTGATGGGCCATAGGAAACCTCTGCCTCTTGTGTGACCCCACCTTATTTCTCTCTTTGCTACTTTCAGTGAGCTCTGCCACACTGACCTCCTATTTGTCATGTGGAATGATTAAGGGTGCCTGCTCTTCTATCCTCTGGACCTGAAGTGATATGTTACAAATATTCACCTCCTAGGGCTCTTCTTGTCACTCAGGTCTCAGCTTATATGTTACTGCTCAGAGGTTCCTCCCCTGACCACCCAGAATAAACCAGCCCAGTCACTCTCTGAAGTGGCAGAGTTGTGTTTGTCATAATGTCATCTTCCCAAGGCACTGGGTAAATGCTTGATGAATGATTTAATCATGTTCCTCACCCCTTGTTGAGATCTGACACAGCAGGGAAATCTAAGGTATTCATTATTGGATTCATATTTTATAACTCAAAAGATATGTAACATTTCCTCATTACTTCTGGGAATATATTCCATCTGTCATTGTCACTTCAAGTGGTCCAAAGACTCATCTCAGAACAGAAGAGAAAGAAAAGATTAACTCTAGTTCAACAACAAATACCATTCATATGAAACTCTGATCCTCAGCAGCAAGATGTTGGCAATAGTGAACATTTGGATATCATGGATGAGTGTCCAGTGGACTGATGTCATTCACTTTTGGTGAAAAGGGGAGACTGAGAAAGGATAAGAGACAACCCCTGATGTCCAGACCTGCTGTGATACTAGATCTCATTGTTATTACAAAATAATCTGATGATGCCATCTCTGTTGTGTTGTCCTCCTGTTGGACATACACAAAGTCACAATCGCCAAACATACCCCCACTGCAAAATTGACCATTTCAGCAATTATACCTTCACAATTCTGGTGCCTGCCCTTCTTAGAGAGAAAATGTGTAGAGGTTCCCAATCATAGAATTGCCCTAACTTCTTAGAATACCAGATCTAGACCAAATCTTTATTTCCTTAGATTTCCCCCCAGATTACCCAAATAAGGCCCAGGTCCTGAAATAGGTTCTTTCTGAGTCTCTTAATCTGAGGGTGTCCCATTGTTCTTATTGGTGTGGGTTCTCTCACTGCAGTGAGTAATAACTCCAATGTCTTCAGCTACATGTGTGTTCCTGGTGGTTTTGCTTGGAGAGCATGGACACACTATAGCCCAACACTTCTCAGTTCCCCTAAGTATCTGCCATACCCCAGTTGGGCATATCTTTTGGAAAGCTCTGAGACTTGACTCAAAGGTATTCCCAAACATGACCTCTGGCCTTACGGAGGTGGTAATATCTGGACTACTCACCTCAGGGAGTATTTCCATTTTCTGTGAACCAGACACAATATATCGGGAGCCTATGTGGAGCGGAGTCAGCGGGGGTGGCTTGTGTATTCGCACAAACTGGAACTTCTTTTTTTCATTATCTACAGCCTAAGGAACATAAAAAACACTGATCAAGAGAGGAGGGCCTCTGGGTCTTCCTCAGAGATTTCATGAATGACTTAAACATGTCTCTCATCCTTTGTTGAGATCTGAACAAAGTGAAGTGGGTTTTCACGTGTTGATGTTGTTATTGTTGTTGTTGTTGGTGGGCTATACCACAATGAGCTCTCCCTCCATTATCTCCCAGGACTGCTACAGAAATCCCCCCACTTGGCCAGAGCTATGTTCAGGGTGGGAATTTGGGCACTGATAGAGAAGAAATGAGAATGGAGAAATGTGTACACCTCTGTGGATGGAGCCATCCCATCATTCTCATTCCTTGAAAGAGATTGCAAAAACAGTGTCCAGCAATGACTAATGGACCAGTGAGCCTAGTTGGGGGAGGTCTTAGGGACCTACAAGACTATTCTGTGTCTTATACTTATGCCCACTTGACACATCCAGGGGCTTTCTGGATGCATGTTATGTCTTTGACAGCCCACCCTCACCCCGTCTTCTCCTATTGGAGTACCTTCTCAATGGTGCAGTCACTGGGGAGTAGGTAGAGGTGAAAGTTGACTTCCTCAGGATGGAGGCGATGGTAGAGCAGCACATTGGAGATGACAGGGATGCTCAAGAAAGAGTGGATCTTCCTCAGTAGAACTCCCATAGGGGAGAAACTGGGGTTCTCAAGGACTATGTAACGTGGCTCCACCCTTGTTGGCTTCTCCAGAAGTATCCCATCCTCTTTAAAGTGGGCGACTTGGAAACATGAGATGTCCACATGTTTCTCTGTGAAAAAATGGATTTGAGAGATGAGTACTTAGTGCCCTCACTGAGTCAGGCTTGTCTGAGGCAGTGTGGTCCTTGGGCAGGAGGTTCAGTGGCCTCGCTGGGGGACCCTGCAGGGAAGGCAGTGTGCCTGTGTCTGGGGCCTTTTGGGGTTGTGGTCAATAGGTCCTCTCCAGTTGGAGCTCCGCTGGAATCTTCTTCTTTTTTTTCTTTTTTTAAAAAAAATATATTTTATTGATTTTTTACAGAGAGGAAGGGAGAGAGAATAGAGAGCTAGAAACGTCGATGAGAGAGAAACATCGAACAGCTGCCTCTTGCACACCCCCTACCGGGGATGTGCCCGCAACCAATGTACATGCCCTTGACCAGAATCGAACCCGGGACCTTTCAGTCCGCAGACCGACGCTCTACCACTGAGCCAAACCGGTTTCGGCTGCTGGAATCTTCTTAAGCCAAACTTATACACAGGCCCAGGTTCTTGGGCTGGGAAAGATAATGACCCCATTGTTACCTGTGTTACTGTGCATTTTGTAACTATGGGGGGTCATGGAGTAGTGCTGGCAGGTGTCTCTCCATGCAGATAGAAACAAGGAGAAAGAGAGTCGGAAATGGAGTGACCAAGATTGTGTACATTTGTCATGTTTAGTCACCCACCATTTTCAGATTATTTTTGTGAAGAAACTCCTCCTCCATCATTATGTGCATCTTGCCAAAATATAAGCTGGTCCTCCCACTCAGGGAGCTTGTGACACAGGTGTGTGACCAAGATTTGACCAAGTGGATGCTCCTAACCAAGGCAGATACAGAGATGATGAAGCACAGATGAAAAGACAGAGATTCTTTTGGCAGCAGCAATGGGGTCAAGAGATTAGCAGCCACCATGGAAGGAGGGCCTTACAGTGGCTGTGTCTGTCCTAGAGGTCTCTCTCTATTTTTCCTGTTTGGACCTTGGCTGTGTTCTCATTTTCCCAACAGTCTTTGGTCACTGTCTTTTTTTTTTCTTTTTTTTTTTTTCTCTCTGTAAGACTTTTTGCCTAATTGTTTCTTAAGTCTGTGAGCTACTCAATAATATTTTTATACATTCTTTTCTGTCCAAATCAACCTTAGTCTGCATGGGCACCAATCAGTATATGTAAGATTGACTTAATACCAGGAGGAGCCTCGGAGACTGCTATTAACTTTACTAATTTATCAAATGCTTAAAAATATTTTTAAAATATACTTTTATTAATCCTCATCCAAAGATATTTTTTTCAATTGATTTTTAGAAAGTGTAGGGAAGGGGAGAGACAGAGAGAAATGTCAATGTGGGAGAAACACATCAATTGGTTGCCTCCCACACTTGCCCCAACTGGGGCTGGGGATTGAGTTTGCAACTGAGGTACATGCCCCTAACCAGAATCAAACCTGAGAACCTTCAGTCCAAGGGTTGGTGCTCAAACCACTGAGCCAAATGGGTTATGTCTATTAGTTGACTTTTTTGTATGAAAAATAGTATCTTGGTGGTGTGTGCCACCTGAGAAAATACAGAAGTATTTACCTCCGATCTCACTATTATTTTCGTCTTCCCCTTTTCCATTAGTCTTTCTCTGTAGCAACACCTTTTTGTGTTTCCACTTTTGTCATGTGGCTTTGTCTTTTGCCTTTCCCACACTGGTTTAAATTGTCCCAAGTGCCTGTGGACCTTTCTAGTGACTACAGGACATGATCCCTGCTAGTGGATGCAGCATTCCTCGTTCACTGCTTTCTTCTGGTTTTAGCATTGGGGTTGTGTCCACCCTTTCGCCATGATAAATAATCCTGCAATTCACATGTTTCTGCAGAGAACTTTTCTATTTCCCTTGAGCTAATACCTTGTAGTTGATAAGTCCCAAGGAATGAGAAAAGGGTGTGAAAGGACATAAGCAATTCTATGATTTGCCATGTTTTGCTAAATTGCTTCTCCATGAAGTGATGCATTTTGCATTGCTTTGGTGACACTAAGTGGTTGATACCTCGTCCTCCACAATTGAAATGTTCTCACATGTTAGTCAGGTGAACTGAAGCTCCTGGAGGGAATTGCTTTAGGGAAGGTCAATGAGTCACCTACAGCCTTTGGTTGAGATCCCTGCTCTCAGAGCACAGTTTGCAGCACTACTCTGCCTGAATTCTGTTTTATTTAAAAAAATGTTGTTATGATGATGATGATGATGATGATGATGATGATGATGATTATTGTGTGTGTGTGTGTGTGTGTGTGTGTGTGTGTGTGCCTGAATTCTGGAAGGTGCTGTGTGTGCATCCACCTTGCCTTTTTGCTAGGATGACCCATTGTCTTTGCTATCTCACACCTCCCTCCCCTCTGTTTTAGTGCTAAATCTTCACTAGTTACCATTACCTACTGACCCTGTCTACCAAGCCAGGTGCCCCTGGACCCTGGAGTATCTCCTCTTGGGATTGGCCTCTGTTGCTCCTGTGCCTGCACTGTCTTCCTGATGGGCAGCTTGTATTGTATACTTAATCTTGTGGTCTCAACAAATGAGCCCTCTTTGGGGTCTGGGCTGTTCTTTGCTGTTTTAGTTTTCTCATTCTATTTTTTTGTTTGTTTGTTTCTACTAATTCGTAAATTCTTCTTCTTATATACATACTCATTTTTTGACTGAGGACCCTAATATTACAGTGTGTTTATTTAAAGTCTAAAGTAAACCAATACCTATATCTGGAGGTGATACTGAATGGATTAAACTACTGGAAGAGGGCTATAATCCTGCATAATAAAAGGCTAATATGCAAATTGTTCCCTCGGAAGTTTGACTGGGAGACCAGGAGTTTGATCGCTTGCTATGATGTCCATTGATCACCAAGGGCTAGCAGGGAACATGGCATGCAACTAGCGGTGGCAAGGTGGAACTGAGGGAGTGAGGAAAGAAGAAGGTGGGGAGGTGGGGAGGCAGGGAATCTATTGTAATTGGCCCTGATCACTGGACAGGCCTAGGGACCTAACAATGAATGATTTTCATGCACCAGGCCTCTAGTTTAATATATCAATCAGTTATATTGTACATTGCTGAACTATGGTGATATGGTCTGAAAAATGCATCTTTCAGCAATTTAATCATTTTGCGAATATCATAGAGTACATATACACAAACCTAGGTGGTATAGCCTACTACACACCTAGTCTATATAGATTACCACCATCGTATGTTTTCTGTCATTGACCAAACTATTGAATGTGATACATGACTATAAATGAAACATTAAAATTATGTCTCTTTATTATCTAAATGAACTGTACATATCATAAAAGTGCTTATAACTTATATAAGCTGTAACATGAATTGTTTATTAAATCATCTATACATATAAAATCCTAAATGAACGATGACTGAATGAATGAAAAATTGGTCACTGATGCATACTGACTACCAGGGGGTAGACGCTTACTGCACGAACTGCCCGTTCATGGTCAGTGTGTTCCCACAGCCAAACTCCTGTGGCCTCTCCCCCTGACTGGCCCAATCTGCCCCAGGCCCCATTTGGGGCAGGGAGACATCCCCGATTGGCCCCTATCGCCGCCCAGGCCAACGTATTCCACCTGTGCATGAATTCGTGCAGCAGACCTCTAGTTCTATCATAATTAGGGTTTCTGTCTGAATCATGATTTGACTAGGGAACTGAATCAGGTTCTTCCAACTTTCACATAAAATTGATAAACAGTAGTTCTGTGGCAGCCAACATCATCTGGGGTGCATCTGATTTTGCTCATGGCCTGGAATGGGAAGCCTGTGTTGCCTCCGCCTGCATATGTGCAGGCCCATTACTTGACTCTGTGGCCAACACTGGCTGACGTTGTCAGGTCACCTGTGGTCTCAAAAAGTGGAGAATTTATTTTTCCTGATCAGGATGGAAATATTTTAGCATTTTAACCCAGTAGTCAGTTCTACTGTGGCCTTTACCCTCCTTGTGAATTATACACTAAGACCTTTGTATTCTTTAGCACTCTACTTGCTGTTTCTGTTGACAGTTCTGAGAGTTTTTTCTCTCTCTCTTTAAACTCCCCACATATTAGACATTATTATTGTTTCCTTACCCTGCTGTGTGTCAGTATCTTTCCTGATTATTTTATCTTGTATAACACACCCTCTGTCTGAGATTATTTTGTGGAAAGATATGTTGGTTTTAGTTTGTTTTAAAATGTTTATCTCAGATACTTCTTAAACAATAATTTTTCTGTGGTTATAATTCTTGCTTGGCAGTTATTTGCTTAATACTTTGAGGTTTTTATTCCATTGTCTTCTGTGGCCTTCCATTATGACTGTTCAAAATCAGTTATCATCCTACTTACAGTACCTTCCTCCATTATCTTTGTGGCTGCTGTTAAAATTTGCTTTTAGATGTCTGTATTCTGTAGATTCACTTCAATGGGTCTAGTGCTGATTTCTCTCTGTTCTTCTTTCCTGCTTTGAATTTTTGGGATTTCTCCTTCTTACAGCAATTATAGAAATTTATTGGAAATTCTCTCTTTGAATATTACGTTTTCCACTGTCTGTGTAGTATCCTTCTAGAATTCTGATTAGATGTATACTAGGCCTCTTGTTATCTTCTATGTCACTTAATCTTTTTTTAATCTATACTTTATCTATTTAGCTTATTTTCAAACTTGATTTATCATTTTTAGTGGCTTGTTTCTTGCTCATATTTTAAGGCTGTTTTATTAAGCATAAGAAACATACTTATTTTGCAATCTCCTTTTGATAACTTAAATGTCTGAGGTCTTTTTTTTTTTTTTTTTTAATATGGAATGCTTCATGAATTGGCATGTCATCCCTATGCAGGGGCCATGCTAATCTTCTCTGTATCATTCCAATGTTAGTGTATGTGCTGCCGAAGCGAGCACTGTCTGAGGTCTTTATGGGACTGATATCTGGTTGAGGTTTCTGTTGGTTTTCAGTGCTTTTGAGGTTTTGACTGTGAACTTTATACTTTCTGGAACTTTCCTGTGGGAAGTCTTTTTCTGTGGGATAGGTTGGATAACCATGCAACTCCATGACTATATCTCTTACTGAAATGCCCTTTTTTTTTGTGGCTTGAGCTCTCATATGGAGTCTGGTGACATGGTTTCTCCTCCTTGCCTTTAGCAATAGCAATGACTTCCCATGTTAATTTTTAGGTGCCCCAACCTTTCTTGTTCGTTCACTTAGCCTTACTTTGCAAATGGTCTTGTGTTTGAAAAGTTTCTTCAAAAATCTCTAATGAATAAACATATCATGTATTTTCTGTTGGGACCCTGAATTATACAATGTATGTGAAGAGAACTTAATAAATGATAGCTATTATTGTTATTGAGGAGATCCCTCCCTCCCTCCCTCCCTCCCTTCCTTCCTTCCTTCCTTCCTTCCTTCCTTCCTTCCTTCCTTCCTTCCTTCCTTCCTTCCTTTTCCCCTCCCTCTCTCCCTCCCTCCCTTCCTCCGTTCTTCCCTCCCTCCTTCCATTCCTCCCTCCCTCCATCCCTCCCTCCCTCCTTTCTTTTGGTTAATCCTCACCTGAGGATATTTTTTTCATTGATTTTCAGAGAGAGTGAGATAGAGACAGAGATAGAGAGAGAGAAATCAATATTAGAGCATTGATGTTACACATCGATTGGTTGTCTCCCGCACGTGACCCAGCTCTGGCCAGGGATTGAGCCTGCAGCCAAGGCATGCTCCCTTGCCCTGAATCAAAACCAAGACCCTCAGCCCACAGACCAATGTTCTATCCACTGAGTCAATCTGGTGAGGGTGAGGAAACCACTTCCATTGAAGGAAACTTTTCAGGATTTCAGGCAAAAATAATTATGATGCTTGGGGACACAGTGTTTCAAAACAGATATGCCCAGAACACTGTGGAATGAGAAAGAAAGCTGCTATAACTTTCTCTCAGTCTGTCTAAGGAAGCCACAAACTCCCCTCAGGATATTGCCATTGGAAGCCATTTTGGGCCCATTCTCACCACCATCACCTTCCCCCACACCTCTCTCTCACTCACCTTGGAGGGCTATAAAGTGAGGGAGGTACACAGCTTCCACAGCTCCTGGTTCAGCCTTGATGTCAAAAAGAGGCCCTGCAACCATCCAGCTGTGCTGTGGGACAGTCTGGTCCAGGAACTGGTCCCAAGCACAGAATTCAATCTCAATGGTCACTGGCCGTCTCACCACAAAGTAGAGCCTCATTTTGGAACAGTGGTAGGAACCAGCCACAGGGAAGTGAACTCTGGGGATAGCAGAGAGAGGTAGACATTGAATTAATTACTCCACACAAGCTCACAGACTACCTACTGGATGCCCGACCCCCTGCAGTGCACTGGGTATCTATTAAGGTAGCTGTAAGCTCAGATGTGACAGCCAGAAGGATTTGGAATTGAGACTTGGGTCCTCTGCTCGCTACTGTGAATCCTTCAGCAAGGCATTGAATTTCCATAATCTCAGATTTCTTATTTGTAAATAAAAGAAATAATAATACCATCTCATAGAGTTGTGAGTAATATGTGACCTAATGTATGCTGATGGCTTAATATCTATTTGGGGGTGGTGAGCTGTCTCTATAATAGTGATGATAAAGTAAATAATAATAACATAATCCTGTCTAATAAAAGAGTAATATGCAAATTGACTGTCACTCCAACACACAAGATGGCTGTCCCCATGTGGACATAAGATGGCTGCCCCAAGATGGCCAGCAAGGGAGGGCAGTTGTTTGGGACCAGGCCTTCAAGGGAGGATAGTTGTGGGCAATAAGGCCAGCAGGGGAGGTCAGTTGGGAGAGACCAGGCCTGCAAGGGAGGGGCAGTTGGGGGCGATCAAGTCTGTAGGGGAGAGTAGTTAGGGGTTACCAGGGTGGCAGAGTAGGGAAGTTGGGGACAACTGGGACTGCAGGGGATGACAATGGTGGGGAAAGGGGGAGAACCAAATTCTGCAGAGGAGAGTAGTTGGGGGGGGGGACCAGGCCTACAGGGGAGGGAATTTGGGGGGGACCAGGCCTGCAGGCGAGGGCAGCTGGGGAGGACCCAGGCCTGTAGGGGAGGGCAATTGGGATGGGGAACAGACAGCAGGGGAGAGCAGTTATGGGCGATGAGGCTGGCAGAGGAGGGCAGTTGGGGGCGACCATGCCTGCAGGATCGGGCAGTTAGGGGTGACCAGGCTGGCAGGGGAGGGCAGTTAGGGGCAATTGGGCTGGCAGAGGAGGAGTTAGGCATCAATCAGGCTGGCAGGGGAGTGCTTAGTGGTTGATCAGGTTGGCAAGAAGAAGTAGTTAGGGGCAATTAGGCAGGTGAGTGGTTGGGAGCCAGCAGTCCTGGATTGTGAGAGGGATGTCTGACTGCCTGTTTAGGCTCAATCCTACTGGGATTGGGCCTAAATGGGCAGTCAGGCATCCCTCCAGGGGTCCCAGATTGGAGATGGTGCAGGCTGGGCTGAGGGACCCCCCTCCCCTACACATGAATTTTGTGCACCAGGCCTCTAGTTAATAATAAAATAGGATAATTTTCTTGTTTTTGAAGGGTGTATTTTTCAACAATTAATAATAATCTATAGGATGATATTATTGATAACTACTTGGAGCTGAAAATAACACTTGCAGAAATATTACAGAGACTTCCCCCAGATCCCCATTGGTAAAGAGTGGGCTCCTGGGATGTCACCTTCTGTGTATATAAATAAGGAGTAATAGTCCATTCCATTGAAATCATGTCCGTGACAGTGAGTGGAAATGTGTTATGTAAGAGATTAGAACTAAGATTATAGACATTTATTACTTAGGACTGGGAGCCCTTGCAAGGCAGGCTGTCATATTCATCTCATGGCCCCTGTTACTGGTATGGTACTTTGCACAGAGCAGATGCTAATAACACTGGGTAGCTGGAAATGAGATTTTTGAAACATAACAAACCAAATGCAACCAGTGGACTTTGTTTGGATCCTGATTAGAACAAACCACCTACAAGGACACATTTTGGATAATTGAGCATATTTGAATACAGACTAGGTATTAGATGGTCTGAACATGACTTATTGTAAATGTCAGATATAATGGCATTGCAGTTATAGGAGAAAAGGTCTTCATTTGTAGTCTTCAAAATGCATCACAAATCATTTATGGGTAAAATCACCTGATATCATGGATTTAAAATACTATAACAACAAAAGAGTGGGAAAGTGAGTAGTTAGAACATATTTGGTAAAATGATTGTTGAAGCTGAATAATGGGTAAGTGGAAGTTCCTTAGACTCTTTTTTTAAACTTTTCATAATAAAATCTCTGTTTCCATAATAAAAGCACCAATCCAGTACCTCAGCCCTGTCTCTGCCTGGGGACTTGGCAATGGGAGAGGAAGAAATGCCATGAGTAGAGTGTTGAGTGACTATTGGGACCCAGTGTGGGCATGTCAGGGGTTAGGGGCCAGCCTGGCACAGTAGAGCCCCCTCACTTACCGGTATAGACTCCTCTCTTCGTCCACCACCTTTAGAGACACAGACCCTGAGGGACCCCAGAAGACATCATCTGTCCCTTTAGACTCCACTGGTATGTCCCACAGAGGTTCAGGTGAAGACAGACAGAAGGGCTTCATCATTACTACTTGCCGGTAGCTCTCCTCTGGAACAGGCAGTGCAATGGTCAACATTAGGGCTCCTGGCTGCCTCCCCCAATCCATAGCCTATACCAAGGAAGGGTCTTCCCAAAGCTTGTCTGTCTGGACATTGGCAGAGAATGTGTCTGTATCCTCTGTCCCTGCTCCTGGGGCTGCCTGCCTGCTATCTGAGGAGGCCCAACTGCTGCCCTCTGACCCCAACCCTGCCCATCTCCCTCTTCCCACTGGCATAGAGACATTGCTAGTCCCAGCTCCAATGGCAAGGTAACTTGGGAAAGGAACATGGCTCAAAAAATGGATGGGCAGGGATGCAAATGGCCTTGGGAGACTGGACCACAGATCAGAGTCTGAGACACTCCAGGGATATTCTGGGGAGGAACAGCCTCAGGCCTGAGGCTAGAGAATGAAAGCAGAGATTTGCCAGTTCTCAGGGTCTAGGTGTGGAAGATCTCATATGGAGCAAGTTCCTGTAGGAGGGCATTTTTCCATGTCCCACACCTGAGGCAGGAGCATGGTGGGGTTCATCTTCCACATTCTCCCTCTCTCATCCCAAGTCATGATGCTCCCAGCCCAGTCCCTCAAAGTACCTGATTCAGGTTCCCGCCATTTGGGTGTAGTTGGTTTATAATTCATCTTTTCTTCTAGATCTTTTTTAATGATAGTCATATTTTGTGTCCTCTCTGTAAAATTTTTCCTTCTCCCCGGGATATTGGAGAAAATTGAGGTAGGTCTGCAAAAATAACATACTCATTTAAATTTAACCATGTGAGTTTGAACTCCTGACCTTCATCTGAAATTCTCCCATAGACCCTGCCTCTGTGATGGCCCCCATTAATGCTGGAAATGGGGTGTAGTCCTGACTCCTCATTCACTTCGAGATTTGATTGGCCACTTTGTCACTGGTTCTAGAATAGCTCTCTACCTCCACAGTCTCCAACCTAGGTCTAGGCCCTCCACCCTCCCCTATAAGTTCCCCTCTTCTTCTCTTGTTCACCTCCCAGCCATTTCTGCACAGCAGTTGATTTTTAATAGGAACCTGACTGAGCACATGGCTGCTGAAGCCCTGAAATCTATTGCTTTTGGGGGGAGTAGAATGCAAAATTCTTAACATGGCCAAAAGGCCTACTTATGCCCTGTTCCTCTAATTCCATTGAAGCCTTATCTCCATTCCCACCTCTGCTATTCTTCCTGCTCTCTCAGCTCTAGTCCAATGCTTCTCAAAGCCCATACCTGGAAGCCTAGTTCAAACACATATCCCTGGGCCCACCCATAGATTCTGATTCAGCAGGTATGCAGTGTAGCCTGACATTTACATTTTCAATGAGTTCTCAGGTGATGCTGATGCAGACACTGCTGATCCACACAGGCCACATTTTGAGTAGCATTGCTCTGGCTACCTGGCTTCCTTCTATTTCTCCAAGGAGCTGAGATCAGATCTCTATCTATCTCAGCCAGGAATCTACTCACTCTCAGCCCAGCTAAGCCCTCGAATCTTTCACAACTCAGTTTAGGTTGTTTGGAGAGAGTTTAATAGGCCAATCAGTGTATTGACCCTGATCCTGGACATAATGACACAGGTGTGTGGGGACAGTGGGGAGGCAGTAACCTAGGACTGTGTCCCTGCTGTATTAAGCTCCTGGGAGTTGGGCTTTAGGGTTCTGTGGGTCTGAGGGGAATGGCTGTTTCTTGAGGAATGGCTCCTCCTAAGCCTAAGAGCCCTCTCCTTCCATGTCAGGTGAGGCAAAGAAGTCAGAACCAGGCACAGGTGCACTTGGCAGTCACAGGCTGGAATACACCAACATGAAAGGCCACGGGGCTGTGAGAGATGCCCAGGAGGAGCTGGATTCTCCTGTTCTCAAGGCTTCTCCTTAGCCTGGCTCTGTACATAGATGTTTATGTGTATGGAGAGTAAAGGAGGGTGGTTTTTTTTTCCACCCAAAGCTCTATCTCCTTGTTTTTGTCTCCCCCTTCTGGTCATTGCTTCCCATGTTCTAACTGCCACCAACTCATTCACTTTTCTTCATTTATTCATCTCCTTACTGACTAGGGGTGTCGAACTCAATCAGAGAAGGGGCCAAAATCTAAAATCCAGCCTAAATTGCGGGCCGAATGGTTTACTGAACAGTCATAAACTGTCATTGTGATGGAAACGCAGTGGAGTGCAGTGATGACAGCGCGGTGCGGGCCACATTGCAAGGCCTGGTGGGATAGATTTGGCCCGCGGGCCTTGTGTTTGACACATGTGCCTTACTCAATGCTTGGAAGGATTTAAGCAAAGGAGGGGCATATTCTTATTTGGACTAAACAAACACACAAACAACCAACCTCACTCTGGCTGCTGTGGTAAACCAGCTTCTTCCTGCTTCTGACTGTCTTGACCTCCAACTGCACCCCACTACTTGCCCATGTCTCTGGCATGTAGGATTCAGCCCTGGGCCTGGGTCAGCTCGAGGGAGTTCTGTGTCTCCCTTCTTACCCATGCGGGATGGGGAGAGTCCTGGGTGTCTCCCGCTGTAGGAGCCTCAGCATCTCTGCCACCTCCTCACTCAGCCCAGTCTGATCCAGCCTGCAAGCACAAAGGAAACCTACTTATCCTGGGACCCCCACAGAGTGTCAAGGGCCTTGGGCCCAGAAACATGGAATCTTCCATGTCCTGCAGGAACCTCTTGTTTTTGAATTGGAAAAAAGAGTTAGGAGGTTTATTAGGGAGTGTAGTTGGGTTAACACAAGGGGAAAGGAAGGGAGGAACAGGACTGGGCAGAGGAACAAGTTGGGCTGTGATGCAGTCCCAAGGGGCACAGCTCACTTTGAGGGACTTCTGATGTGAGCATGACCCTCCAGGGCTGTTCCATACTTGGAGGAAGGTTTTTATATCACTACACCAGTCACTGGATGCAGACCATCACAAGAGGGCAGTGACCTTGTGTGAGATGGCCCTAGTTGGTAGAGGTCATCCTTGTAGCTGGCAGCACTCTAGGGTGGGGGTCGGCTCTTCATTCCTTCAAGGGGACTGGCAGCACTTCACAGCATCCACCAGAGGACAGCCAGTGTCCATGGCCTCAAATGACCCCACAGGAGTAGGTCCTGGGATTTCCTTCTCAGAGGCTAGGAGGCTTCCTGGAGAGAAAGTGCCCTGTTTCCACTTTCACATGCCCTGTGCTCTGGGGTTTCTGTTGAACTTGGGATAGCTGCTGCCTGATGTCACTTCCCCAGAGAGGCCCTCCCTTCCCCTGAGTCTAATTCCACACCCCCAACCTCCTGTTAAACTCTCACAACACAGTGCACTTTCCCTTCACATACTGCATGGAGCTCAGAGATACACACTGTGTGTTAGCATGTCATCAGCATCTGTCTCCTTCTCACTGGAGTGCAAGCTTCAGGAGGCAGGACCCTTGTCTGTTGCTCACTATTGTCCCCTCAGTGCCTGGCCCAGTGTTTGACACATGAGAGGCCTGATATGAATGGATGAATGAGTGAATGAAAAAGACTAGGAAGGAAGGAGAGATTATTCTGGATGGAGAAATGAACCTAGTGTTCTCTAAGAACATGTGGTCTCACTCATAATTATCATTTCAGCTTCTCAAATCTGTTTCCAGTGCTGTGATTCTTTTTATTTCATCACATCTATGAGTGGATATGGTAGTCCTGTTACAAAGATAAAGAAACCAAGTCTCATGGCCTAAGTCAGTGGCAGATCCAGTAGAGATGACAGGCTGCCCATGCATTTTTCTGCCCCTTTACTTTCCCTGTCCAATTCAGGGTCCCCACACCCCTTTCCACTGCTCTCCCTCCCCTTCCCTGTCCTCAGCCCAGAAATGACCCAGGGCCTTACCCCAGGTGCTTGAGGTGGCAGTTAGATTGCCTGAGCCCTTCACAGAGCAGCCTGACACCCTGGTCGCCCAGGTGATTCTGCTGCAGGTCCAGCTCTGACAGCATGAAGTTGTATCTGATCATGGAGACCAGGTCCTGGCAGCAGCCAGATGTGAGGCCACAGCTGACGAGCCTGTGAGAGAAAAGCACATGGGCTGGAAGTCATTGTTCACAAGACCCTCTGCTCAGGGTAAAGGGGGTCTGATTTCCCTCTCTCACACCCATGGCCCTTTGGGGGTCCTTGGTGACATAAAGGAAGATAAACACGTGTCTAGTTAATAGTAACCCGGGAGATTTTAATTTTCTCCAGCATCAAGGAGCCCCTCAGGATCAGAGAACTTCACTTTCTCACTCCAGTGAGATTCCCAACAATCTTGCAACTGCCCACATCAACATTATATGATTTATTTATCCATTTTCCACTTGTGCACTAGGTCTGACTACATTGGCTCTACCAAATGCCCAGGTAGCTGACACAGGAGTCTTTGGTTGGTTTCAACAGTAGGGTATCTGCTTGCTTCTAACCCAAATCACCCCATTGTACCTAGCTCTCAGCTTCTCCCTGATCCAAGGTTTTAGGCAGCTCCCTCTCCTTTGCCCACCCCTCAAAGTAGTGTCAAAGAAGAGCAATTACAGCAGCCGCCGCAGCTTGCAGCTTGCAGAAAGTCTCAGTTCCCGGAAAAGGCCCTGGGCTCCGGTGTCCAGGAGCTGGTTGAAGCTCAGGTCCAACTCTGTCAGGTACCAGCTGGTCTTCAGCCCACGGGCAAGGGCCTTGCAGCCTTTTGCTGTGAGGCCGCAGTTGGCCAACCTGTGGGAGACAAACACTTTTAGCTGTGAATTTCCTCACCTGTTGATTCCACAGATGCCCATGAGCACCCATGGGCACCTCTTCTAGGTCAGGGAGTAAGTAAGACCCCCATCCCCAAGATCCCCAGAAATGCACAGGAACTGGGGGAATGACATAGAAACAAAGACAAAAAATCTTAAAAGAAGCAAGATAAAGGCAGTTACTTACCTACAAAGGGGTTGCCGTTGACTGGAATCAAACCTAGGACCCTTCAGTGTGCAGGCTGATGCTCTATCCACTGAGCCTAACCAGTGTTCATGCAACCCCTCTCTTGTCCTTCTGTCCCAGTAGGGCCAAACCTCCTTCTCCTGTGCTTTTGATTCCACACCCTTCCCTCTGCCTCCCCTCTGACCTATACTTTCTGGAATCCCCTCTTCATATTTCCAGTCTCTCCTTTACCAATTCTTTCTGCTTTGTCCATGTACTGTGCTCAAAGTACATGTCCAACACCTCAAAGTACATGTCCATAAAATCAATTTGTTACCATCCTCTCTTGCTCAACTGATTTCCAGAGAAATCCAATTATTAGTTAGGACTTTGCTTGAAGGTCTTAGATATTCCTATATCCAAAGACAGTTAAGTCTTTCAGTTCTTTCACATAGAGTCAACTTTTGTAGTGAGGAAATAGTCATGCTGCCTGATCCATCATTGGTATTCTCATGAAAAATCTCTTTTATTGCACTGCTCCACTGAGTCAGCATGAATTAGATCCTGACTTTCATGATGAAGTGCTGAAGGTGGTTCTGGGCTGTGTGCTCACTGAGTTCTAGTCCCAGTTCCCCCATTTTCAGCTGTTTAAATTTGAGCAAGTTGGTTCACTCCACTGAGCTTCAGTCCTTTACATACCTGGAAAGTGGAAATCATTGTTCCTGCTCTGCCATTTCCATAAGTTTTTTTGAAGGCCAAAAAAAAAAAAAAATTTCTGGAGTAGATACAGAGTTGATGTTTAGATTATTAAGTCCTATCACAATGTAAGCAGTACATTGTAGCTTGGTGTCTCCCCACTTGTTGTGAAGTTTAAGGTAGAATAAAGCTTTCTGAGACCTTTTCAAGGGCTTTTCTTCCTGGACTCAGGTGGTCCTTATTAGAAGGGAGGGTTTAGGGAAAGGTGAAGAAGCCTCATGTGGGATACAAGAGGCCCCAAAGACTGGATTTGTTACCATCCTCTCTTGCTCAACTTATCCTACCAGGACTCCTCTTCAAAGAGCAATTCCTTAACCCTCTTCATTCTCACAATCTTTCAGCAGTTCCTCTCTTTCTTTCTTTCTTTCTTTCTTTCTTTCTTTCTTTCTTTCTTTCTTTCCTTCTTTCTTTTTTCATTTTGCCTGTAATCTAGCTTAAAGTCTATGATATGTCATCAGTAATATGACTGCATGACTTACTCTCTGACCTCTCACCATATCCCTTTAGCTAACCCAAACTCTGCCATTGTCCCACTACCCTACACTCACTCCCACCAGAGTGACAAGTGTGGTGGCTACAATTATGAATTGCATGGGCTCCCACCATGCCTGGAAGGCAGGAATCTCCCACTCTATAAATCTCCCACTTCAATATTTTACCTCCCCCAAGTCTCCAACACCCCAACCTCACACTCATTGTTAATAAATAGCTGGATTTCTACTTCACAGGGAAAAGTGGAGCCATTAGGTTGAGAACATTTCCTTTTTTCTAGTTAATGGGAAAGGTGTTATTAATGTGAAAAGGTATTGGACTTTGTCAAGTACTATTTCTATGTCTATTGAGATGATCATGTACTTTTTGTTCTTTATTATATTAACATGATGTATTGTATTGGTCAATTTTTCTGAGTTAAACTAGCTTTGCATTCCTGGGATAAGTCCCTCTTTGTCATGCTTTACCATCCTTTTTATTTGTTTTTAATATATATATATATATATATATATGTATATATATATATATATTTTAATATATTTTATTGATTTTTTACAGAGAGGAAGAGAGAGGGGTAGAGAGTTAGAAATATGGATGAGAGAGAATCATCCATCAGCTGCCTCTTGCACACTTCCTACTGGGGATGTGCCCGCAACCAAGGTACATGCCCTTGACCGGAATAGAACCTGGGACCCTTCAGTCTGCAGGCTGATGCTCTATCCACTGAGCCAAACCGGTTTCGGCTCTTTTTAATATTTTGTTGAGAATTTTCATATCTATATTCATAAGAGATATTGGTTTGTAGTATTTTTAATACCTTGTGATGGCTTTGCTTGCCTTTGTGAGATTTTGATATCAGGGTAATGTTGCTGTCATAGAATGAGTTGGCAATTACTCTCTCTTCTATTTTTCCCCCCCAGAGTTTGAGAATATTGGTGTTAATTTTTCTTTAAAGGTTTGGTAGACTTAATCAATGAAGCCATCTGGGCCTAGGCTTTTCTTTGTAGGAATGTGTTTGTGTTTTTAAAAATTATTTTAATCTCTTTACTTGTTATAGTTTTATTTAGACTACCTAAATCTCCTTGAGTCAGTTTCAGTGGTTGTGTTTTTCAGGAAATGGTCCATTTCATTTAGGTTATCTAATTTGTTGACTTCCAGTATTTAATATTTCTTTAAAGTTCTTTAAAATAATTTTTTCTGTTAGGTCAATTGTGGTCACCTCTCTTCCATTCCTGATATTAGTAATTTGAATTGTTTCTCTTTTTATCCTAGTCAGTCTAGTTAAAAGTCTGTCAATTTTGCTGAGTTTTGCAAAGAACAAACTTTTGGTGTCATTATTTTCTGTATTGTTTTTGTAGTCTCAGTTTTATTTATTCCCACTCTAGTTCATATTATTTTCTTTCTTTGGCTTGCTTTTTTTTTTTTTTTTTTAGACTTTTTATTTATTTCAGCGAGGGAGAGGGAGAGAGAAAAACATCAATAATGAGAGGGAATAATTGATTGGCTGCCTCCTGAATGCTTCCTACTAGGAATCTAGGCCACAACCCTTGATGGGAAATGAACCCAGGACTCTTCAGTCTGCAGGCCAATACTCTATCTACTGAGCCAAACAGCTAGGGCCAGCTTGCTTTTTGTTATATTTTTCCTTTTATTATTTCTCTTTGATTCTTAAAAATTGAACTTTAAGTTATTGATTTTAGTTCCTTCTTTTTCTCCCCCTTCTCTTCCTCTAACCACTTCCTCTTTCTTTTTTAAATATACTTTTGTTTTGTTTGAATAGTTTAGTTTTCAAAAACACTTGGGCATAAACAGAGATTTCTTACATATCCTTGGCCCCTACATGCACATCTTTCCCATTATCAACACCTGGAAGCAGACCAGTGAAGTTGTTGCAGTCAGTGAACCTACACTGACACATCATAATCACTCTTTAGTTTACATTATGGTTAACTTTTGATGTTTTGTAGTCTATCTATGCTTTTTGACAAATATAAAATGACATATATCCAACATTCTTGTGTCATACAGAATAGTCACTATGCTCTATCATTTTTCTCTCCCCTCACCCACTGGCAGTTACTGATTTTTTTTTTTTTTACTGCATTCATATTTTTGTGTGTGTTTTTTTTTAACTTTTACATTGTTGTGATCATACAGCATGCAGCTTTTCATATTGTGTTTTTTATAACTAATAATATGAATTTATAGTTTCCCCATGTGTTTTAATAGATTTATGACTCATTTTTGCACACTGAGTAATATTCCATTGTATTAATGTACCACAATTAATTTATCTGCTTGTTTTTAAGTCTGGGCAATTATAAATAAAGCTGCTTTAAACATTGTTGTATAGGTTTTTGTATGGATATAGGTTTTCAACTCATTTGGGTAAACTCCAAGGAGCATGACTGCTGGATCATATGGAAAGGGTGTGTTTAATTTTGTAGGAATCTGCAAAGTGGCCACATTATTTTATATTCCAACCCGCAATATATGAGGATTTCTTTTGCTCCACAATCTTGTCAGCATTTGGTGTTGTCAGTGTTCTCTATTTTGGCGATGCTAATGAGTGTGCAGTTATATCCCTTTTTCTTTTTTAAATCTAGGCATTAATATCTATACCTTTCTCTGTCAACACTGATTTAGCTGCATCAAATAAGATTTGGTATGGTGTGTTTTTGTTTTCATTCATCTCAAAATACTTCTAACATATATATTTTTATGAATTTCAAAGAGGGAGAGAGAGAGATAGAAACATCAATGATGAGAGAGAATCATTGATTGGCTGCTTCCTGTATGCCCCCTACTCGGGATCAAGTCCCCAACCCAGGCTTGTGCCCTTGACCATGCTATTTATTTATTTATTTATTTATTTATTTATTTAATTGTTTGTTTGTTCATTTTTCTTTTAAAATATATTTTATTAAATTTTTACAAGAAGGAAGGGAGAGGGATAGAGAGTTAGAAACATCGATGAGAGAGGAACATCAATCAGCCTCCTCCTGCACTCTCCCAAGGTACATGCTCTTAACCAGAATTGAACCTGGGACCCTTCAGTCCTCAGGCCTATGCTCTATCCACTGAGCCAAACTGGTTAGGGCTGTTTATTTTTCACAAATTTAAGAAAAATATATTATTCATTTATTTTAGAGAGGAAGAGAGAGGGAGAGAAAGCATCAGTGATGAGAGAGAATCATCACTTCAGTCCTTCACTCGCACCACTGGGGATTGAACCCACAACTTGGGCATGTGCATTTATCAGGTATCATAACCACTGGATTTATGGGTCAATGCTCAAACCCTGAGCCACATCAGCAGGGCTCAAAATACTTTTAAATTTCCCTTATGATTTCTTCTTCCACCCGTTGTTTATTTAAGGGTATATTGTTTCATTTCAGTGTGTTTGTGAATTTCCTAAATTTCCATCTATTATGATTTTCAATTTCATATAATATAATTTGTATGACTATAATCTTTTTAAATTTGCTGAGTTTTATTTTATGGGGCATCTTATTTTAGTATACACCTTTATTTGATACTAGTTGGACATCTCTCCGAGGTACCTCAAAGGAACTTGACTTTGCTGCACATGTATAAAATCACACTCATGACATTCCACCCCCCATCTACCCTCTCCCAGTATTTCCATCTCAGTGAAGGTGCCATATCCTATGTATATCTCTGGTCTGAACCTAAGATCATCGTCTATAGCTCCATCTCCCTTTTCCCATAAATCCAATTCATTACTCAGTCTGGTCGATTTTACTTTTCTTCAGATCTCTCACATCCATTCACTTCTTTCCATTTCCATGGCCAACACTGTAGTCCAAGACACCACCATTTCTTGCAGAAACTATGGTAATTTCCCTTAGCCCAAGCTCTCACCATCTTTACAGGAACAACTAAAACTTCCCTATGAACTGGTTTCCGAACATCTCCTGTTGTCTTCCATTCTGGATTTTATATGGCAGTCTGCTTCTACTTTGAAAATGCACTGACCATATCAATCTTTTGATTATAATCACATTGCATTAGAAAAAACAACCACCCCAAATTCCAACAGGGCCTTGCATAGATAGTCTTATTTCCTGATCTCTGTAGCCTCCTTCTGTAGCCCCTTTGCTTTCCATCCTCCAGCCTCACTTGTCTGCTTTCAGTCTCCTTCCTGCCACAGGGCCTTTGAACTTTCTGCCATCCTGCATCAACTAGGTGAACCCTCGGTATCCTTCCCATGTCCTTCAATATTCACTTTATTCAGGTTGTTTTCCACTGCAGGCCCTTATCTGGGCCTGTTATGACACATTTGTTTGTGTGGTTAATGTCAGTCACTTGCAAACTCTGTGAAAACGAAATCCTATCTCTGTTTGCTTACTGTAGTAGCCATGGTCAGAGAGGGGCTCAATGAATGTTTGTTGACTACAAGGACCACACACCCATCTTAGACACAACTTCTATCTTGGATCTCCTGTCCAGCTCTCTTTCAGAACAGAACCCAGGCGAGACTCACCTCAAGGTCTCCAGGCGGCAGCTAGGACTTTCCAGGGTGACACGAAGCTTGTGTACTACAGTGAAGCTCAGGGAGTTCCCACTCAGGTCCAGCTCCCGCAGGCTTGCAGGGACTTTGAGAAGGGAGAAGAAAGTCAAGGAAAGACTCTGTTCAGCCCCAAGGACTTCAGGGAACAAGGGTTAGATGGGGCCAACACCTCCACTCTCTTAAACACGGGTGTTCTTCAAGAGCACTCCACCCCTCGGAGCTACAGCTTCATTCACCTGTGCTTCCAGAAGTTCTTTGCAGCAATGTCCTATGCGTTAGGAGGTGATAGAGTATTGAAAAGTGATTGCTTTAGTGACATCAAAATTATAAGAGACTTGACAGATGTATATGACAGTATGACCTGTCTGGGGAACCAACCACATGTTTCCTTTTGGTCTTTTGAGTGATCAGGGGATGAGAGAGATGGAGAGCATCTTGAGGGTCAATGTATAGTCAACAGCAGCCTGTCTCCGGAGCGGCATTCCTATCAGCTGCATTTGGCACAGAGGGAAGTTGACTGCAAGCATCCTAACCTAGAGCCGTATTGTTGGCACTTGCTCCACTGTTTTTATGAGAATCGGGACTAAAGGCTTCTGACAAAAATGATGTCTAATTTCTATGGAATGAGGATACGTGTCCATACTCACATGGAGCTCCTGGTGTTCACGTTCTGCTTTAAATTCTGCCATAGCATGAAGACGCTTCAACTGAATGACGGTGGAAAGGCAAACTAGCTCAAAGGCCTTCAGATGTGGTTCTGTGAGTGCTCCCCTCTCCGCCCACCCCCCCCACTCCATCCCCTTTATTGGTACTACTGCCCTGGGGACTGGGGCACTCTCACTATGCCTGGCCCCAACAGTTTTAGGACTGAGGTCACCAGTAATATTTTTTTCTCAATAGATATATTTTTTTTATGAGAGAGAGAGAGAGAGAGAGAGAGAGAGAGAGAGAGAGAGAGAGAGAGAGAGAGAGAGAGAGAGATTATGAGACAGAATCTTTGTTTGGCTGCCTTTTGCACACATACATCCTACCGCCACCGGGGATCAAGCCTGCAGTCCAGGCATGTGCCCTGACCTGACCAAATCAAAATGTGACGACCTGGTTCATAGGTCACTGCTCCACCACTGAGCCACGCTAGTCAGGCTAATGGCCAAATCACACCCGTATTCTCTGTCCAGCTAGGGTCCTCAGTAGCTGTATCTGACCATGTGACCTTCCCTCGCTGCTTCTGGGCTGCCTGCTGTGACTCTGCCTTGTACTGCTGTTTCTCTTCCTGTCTCTGTCACGATGGTCACCTTCTCTCCTGGGTGCACTTTCCACCCCATGCCAATATCAGCTGCCCTCTACCCAGCCCACCTGCCTCTGATTCTTCCTCTAACATACTTCCCTTCAGGCAACAGTTCTCTCAGCTGCTTCAGGCACCCCCTTAATGGCTGTTGACTATAACATTGACCCTAAATTCTCCCAGCCAACTCAGTATGTGTCTGTCTGAAAAGGAGTCTCTATTTCCTTCTACACAACTAACATCCCTGTTTGTTGCACTATTGCCCCAGGGACTCCGCTGAAAGACACCATCTGAGTATGATGGAGTAGCTCTCTCTGACCAGTCCAAAATCCCAGAAACACTGCTAACTTCCACATCCGGGTTCCCCACCTTAGGGGCAGCTTTGACCCTTTAGTACTTGATGTGCCTATCTCCCCTTTAAATGATTCACTCCATAAATGTGTATTAAGCACTGGTTTAACACCAACCCCTAAAGGTCACAGATTAATAAAGCACAGCCCTGTCCTCAGGGAACTCAAATCTGGGAGAGAAGACAGACATCCATCCAATAACTAGAACAGCATGCAAAGTCCATGGTAAGAGAGGAAAGGACAAGGTGGGATGGTGGCCCAAGGAAAGGGGGATCACATGAGTGGGCTTGATAGAGGGAAGTGTCTCAGAGAAAGGACTGGGGGACACAGGTGTTTTATTTTCAGATTTATAAAGTTTTTCTAATATAAAACGCATGTTCATTGTTGAAAAATAAAGTCACGTAAATAAGCAATGAGGTCAAAATTAATATTAATCAGAATTCTGTTCCTCACAGGTACCATCATTATAAACTGAGGTACATATCATCTAGTCTTACTTTTATGCACATTTCCAGATCAAAACTGAGCCATACTGTACAGAGGTCACCAGGGTGGAGAGCTCTGGAGGCCTAGCAACGGGCAAAACTTGGAAAACAAGGACTTCACCCCCAAGGTAATCTTTCTTCCCCCAGCATATCACTCGTTATGGGGTTTGGACCTCAGGCCATTTTATATCTCTGGCTATGCTGTTCAGCCCTCCTGTTCTGACAGGTCTGGTCTGACCCCTCTGTTCTAACACCTGGTACTGTTCTCACAGTCAGTCGTAATCAACAGCTGCTGTTCGTTCCTCCCTAGAAATAACATCTGGGCGTCAGTTGTATTTCAACTCCAGGCCCCAAAAAATAGCAAAACCACTCAGGACCATCTGCACTGACCCTTTGCCCTGGCACAAACCAGTCAGTGGAGACCACAATCTTGGAAGGACCCACTTGGAAAGCTGATGAATATTCTATTGAGATCCTCCCTGGATCACCCCTAAGATCTCCACTCTTAAAAGCTTTAGAATGCAGGACCCAGTGTGCTCTCCCTCCTGGAAGCATGCCCGTGACTTTCCGTACCCCTCCCCTTCCAACCCCCATTATCATTCCCTTTACCTTTCTTACTCCTAAGCTCCAAGGGCCTTTCTTTTGCTCTGTTTCCTAACTCATTTGTTCTGCCATCCATTTCTGACACCTCTGTGATTTTCTAAGTTAACATTCTCTTACAGTTTGCGTCTTGGCTCTGAATTCTTCCCTAGTCAGAACTCAAGAACCAGGGTTGCTGAACCAAGGTCCTGTCTGACCCCACTGGTCTAACACCTGGTGCTGTTCTCACCATCATCATCAATAGCACCAGAAAACAAGAGATGAAGTCTTACATAAGAGAGGTCAGGGAAACCAGTGAGCCCACTGCAGCCTGCCCCACACTCTCATTGGAAAATGGTGCCCTGACACTGCTGGGCAACTGTACTAATCTGGGCTCCAGGAACTTTGTATCTCTGCCCTGGTTCTGCCTCTACCTCCCCAGATATGTCCTCTCTGTGCCTCAAGTCCCCTCACATGAGGCTGAGAGCTTCTGCCACCCACAGCAGTCAGTAATAACATCTGCAGGGGCAGCAACAGTAGCAACAGAACAGTTCATTGAGCACTTACTGGGAAGCGGACTTTGTGGTGGGTGTCTAACATGGATTACCTCTTGACCCTCCTACAGTCCAGGGGCCTCCAACCCTCTCATTTTACAGATGGAGAGAAGATTCAGAGAGCAGTGAAGTGACTTGCCCAATGTGGTTGTGCTAGGATTGAATGAAACCTGCTTCTCCCCGACTCCCTTCTGTGCTTATAGCACAAACCAGGCAAGTGGCCTCTTGGGAGGTGGGTGTGAAACCCATATCTTCCTGCTGGTGCCTTCTGGGAGTCAGCCTCTAGGGGTGTCGAACTCAATCAGAGAAGGGGCCAAAATCTAAAATCCAGCCTAAATCGCGGGCCGAATGGTTTACTGAACAGTCATAAACTGTCATTGTGTTGGAAACGCAGCGGAGTGCAGTGATGACAGCGAGGTGCGGGCCACATTGCAAGGCCTGGCAGGACGGATTTGGCCCGTGGGCCTTGTGTTTGACACATGTGCTCTAGTCTTTCTGGCCCTCTGAATGTTCCCTTCCAGGTGCTGTGAGGACCCATGGGTGGCTGGGAATGTATTTGGCATTCTTCCCCCACAAGCCTCTTAGCTGCAGTCTTATCTGAGTCTGGATCCCCCCTTTGACAGGACAGTTCACTGTCCAGGGTCAGATTTGGTGGGAGGTTCAGCAGGGTGTGGGTGAGAAGGAGATGAACAGCAGGTAGAGGGAGTTTTGTTTACTCACTTGACTGTATAGCTAACTCTATCCGGGCTGTGGCACACAGCTGGGTCAAGCCCATCTGCTCCCAGGTCTGCTGGGCCAGGTCCCAGGCCCGCTGTTCCCCATATTGAGCCACAAGGCGTGAAGCCAACTTCATGCCAGCCACCTCCTCTGGTTGAGCTGTGGTCGCCCCAGGGGAGTGCTCACAGAGATCCTTATCAGGCAGCCGCAGCAGGAACTCCCTGAGCTGCTCCTTGCTCATAAACTCCAAGATCCAGGCCAGCCGTTGCTCGACTCCATCAGCCATCTTTGCTGCATGCTTCTCCTCAGCTGCACTGAGTACGTCTCTTGCACTCAATTGGATTTGGAAGGCCACTGAGGAGAGTGGGTGGTGAAGGGATCAGGCAGTCAGAGAAAAGCAGCCATCCTTGGTTCCTACCACCTCCCAATGCAACACTTCTACTTGGGTCATTATGGTCACCTGTCAAACTCCTATTCAGCATTCAAACCCACTTTTGTAAACCCCAGGGCATCTGCCAACAGATGATGTTGGGAGAAGGGATGTGAAGGAGAGAGGCAGGAAAAGGCATAGGAAGCAGGAGTCCAGAGGGGGCTGGGCGACAATGAAAAAGATCAAGTTTCTGAGTTGTTGGGTCCTGTCTGGGGGCAGGCAGGAGGGTGAAGGGGGCAGGGATGGGAGGATGGGATGTTCTGAGCACTCACTGTTCTATGTTCCTCAGTTCTCTGTCTCCTAAGATCTGGACTCTTTGGACCAAGCCTTGAGCTGCAATGCTGACAGGAGGCGGGGGAGGGGGAGAGGCAAAGCACAGGGTGGACTTTGAGAGCCCAGGGTTGAGCTCAGAGCTGCCTCATCCACATCTCTCCAGACCTCTTCTGGTCCCAGGACACCAACCAGGAAGGACAGCCCCACCCAGCCAGAGAGGAACAGAAATCACCCAGAGGAAACCACATGGAGGTGAAGTCAGGGGAGGAGAAGGGCCATCATAGTTTTGAGCAGAGAAGGGACTTAGAGCCAAACACCCAGACAGGCCACATCTACAGTCTCCATCGATAGTGAGGCCGGGGGCACAAGGACAGACAGTCTGATGCCCTGGATGAAGACCCATGTACCATGAGGCACTCACATCTTTACATGACACCCTGCCCAGGTCCAACTCCCCACCCCCAGCGCATCTTTCTGCTGAGCCAGGGTTGAGAAACTCTTCAGGAAGTTCAGTGTAGGGACAGAGGAAGCTCTCAGGAAGGGCGGGGAGCCCCAAACCTTCTGCGGAAGCAGGTTTCTTGAAGCCCAGTTCATCTTGGGAAGACTGCTGGGACCTCCAGCATAGGTGGGGTCAATTTTCACCCGAAGCTTGCTAAGACTAGGATGTCAGGGGGCTGCCCCCACCTCTGGAATCATGATCTAAAGATCCATTCTGTTGTCTCTGGTGAGGACATTTCTGGCAAAGTGAAGATCTAGAGTAGGGGTGTCAAACTCAATCAGAGAAGGGGCCAAAATCTAAAATCCAGCCTAAATCGCGGGCCGAATGGTTTACTGAACAGTCATAAACTGTCATTGTGATGGAAACGCAGCGGAGTGCAGTGATGACAGCGCGGTGCGAGCCACATTGCAAGGCCTGGCGGGACGGATTTGGCCCGCGGGCCTTGTGTTTGACACGTGTGATCTAGAGCACCAGTTTTCAACCTGTGGGTAGCGACCCCTTTGGGGGTCAAATGACCTTTTCGCAGTTGTCGGCTAAGACATCATGCATATTAGATATTCACATTATGATTCATAACAGTAGCAAAATTACAGTTATGAAGTAGCAACAAAAATAATTTTATGGTTGGGGGTCATCACAACATGAAACTGTATTAAAGGGTTGCGGCATTAGGAAGGCTGAGAAACTGATCTAGAGCATCAGTGTGCCACTCGGGGTTGTGGTGATGGCCCACCCTACTCTGAATCCTGTGTCTGCCTGAGGTGCCAAGAGATGGCTTAGGGCTTTCTGGTGCCACGTTCTTTAAAATATCCTGGTTTTAATGGCTCTGCATGCCACATACCTAAATCCTTTTGAGTTAGTAAAACTTAGAAAATTCTTTCCCTCTCACTAATACTTCTAATAAGTTAAATTTTAATATTACACTTTTGGCCAGGGGTTGGCAATCTCTGACTACATCAAGATGGCTAACCTGTCACCTAAAAATGATTGTTACATTTTAAAATGGTTGAAAAAGTCAAAGAATAATAATATTTCATGATAGCAAAATTATGTAAAACTAAAGGCCTGGTGCACGTATTTGTGCACCGGAGGGGTCCCTCAGCGTGGCCCTCAGTGATTGGGCTGAAAACGGCAGTCCAACACTGCCTGCTGCTCCTGCCTGCTGCTCCTGTTCACCCTGGCCCCACTGTGCCTGCCACGCTTGCACCCAGTCAGTCCCTATTGGGAGAGCCTCGCACCACCACAGCAGTGCTCACCAGCCATGAGCCCGTTGTCTGATACCAGTCCTGAGGGAGGTGGGAGGGAGGTCAGGATGCGATTGGCCCTCTGGGTGGGCAGTGGGACACCCTTGCTGGCCTAGGATCTGGATCCATTACGCTGATGTTAGTGCTGGTTGTTGGGAGCCACCAGGCAGCTGCTTTTATATCCTTTCTTCCTTGCCGAGCATCTAGGGTGGGGAAGTGGCCATGGTACACCAGGCTAACTTCTAGGAGGCCTGTGGCATTGTCTGGTTGTACCAGCAGTGCAGGTCCATTGGTGCCTGGCCATTCTCCAGAGATTAGCCCTGAGGACTACTGAGGGAGTGAGTGACTGCTGCCAGGCTGGTGGGCTGCTGGGATGGGTAGGTCAGCTGAGTGGTGACCCCACTATGGGAGCACACTGACCACCAGGGGGCAGCCATTGCGTTGAGCATTTGCCCCCTGGTGGTCAGTGCATGTCATAGTGACCAGTTGACCGGTTGACAGGTCATTTGGTTGTTTGGTCACTTAGGCTTTTATATATATATATGTATATGTATATGTATATGTATATGTATATGTATATGTATATGTATATGTATATGTATATGTATATGTATAAAATTATTGTCAAAAATCAAAGAGAATATAAAAGGAGAAAGAGAATGACTGATCACATACATAGGACTCCCTCAAATCTGTAAACAAAATTTTCAGCAGAAACTTCACAGTTCAGGAGAGAGTAGATGATACATTCAAAGTGCTAGAAGAAAAGCAGGAAATAATAACTTACCCAGCACAGGTTCAGAAATGAAAGAGCTATAAAGGTATTCCCACATGGGGGTGGGGCCAGTGGCAGGGAGGGGCCATCACAGTTCTGAGCAGAACAGGGACTTAGAGCCAAACACCCAGACAGGCCACTTGTACAGTGAGGCCAGGGGCACAAGGTCAGGTAAGTTGCTGTGCTGGATGCAGACCCATGTATCCTGCAGCACTCGCATCTTCACTTAGCACTCTGCCTGTCCATCACCCAGAGCCTGACCACAGAGCCAAGGTTGAAGCTCTTCAGGATGCTGAGTGTGGGGCCAGGCCCAACTCTCAGAATGGGTGGGGCCACTGTGAATCTTTCTTAGAGCCTTGGTTGAGGTTCTTCAGAGATGGGTGTGAGGTCTGGCCTAAGGAGCTTCAGCCCATTGCTCACCTGGACACAGACTCCTTGTGTGGCTGACTTATTTCTCTGAGCCTTAGTTTTCTCACTTATTAAATGGGATATCATAGTTTTGCCAAGGAGCTCAAATCAAGCAAAAAGGTCTTAGTAACCTCTAAAAATGTTGTATAATACTATTTTTAAAAAATGGGTAATAAATACTGGTGGACATTCAACAGCCAGTCTTACCAGGAATGGAAAGTACTATCCTAGGAAGTGGGTTGATTAGAGGGACCTAACCTCTATGAAGGGCATTAAGACCCAGTGTGATGGGAGGTATGGCCTGGAGGAGGGGGTGTGATAGATTTTATTTCTTCCTGATCCTAACTAATTTTGACACATACTCTCTGGACACAACTGGGTATCCCACAACTCAGTTCAATTGGGGCCTTAGCTGGCAGTCAGACATCCTTAGCGCTGCTGTGGTGGCAGGAGAAGCTCCTGCACGGTCACTGCACTTGTCAGTTGTGAGCCCAGCTTCTAGCCAAGTGGCAATCCCCCTATGGGAGTGCACTGTCCACCATGGGGCAACTCCTGCATTGAGTGTCTGCCCCGTGTGGTCAATGAATGTCATAGCAACTGGTTGTTCCGCCATTAGGTCAAATTGCATATTAGCCTTTTATGATATAGAATGGCTGATTAAATCAGGCCTTGGCAATTGCCTTAATCTCCCATCCCTCACCTTGCCTTTGGTTTTCTGGTGATCAGCCTCCCTTCTGAGGGCATTTAGAGGGCCTACCCCCTACTCATTTCACTACTATACGAATAAATCTCTTTCAGTCTGCAGCCCTGGTGTGTGCCCTGACCAGGAATCAAACCTGTGACCTCCTGATTGAAGCTCAACCACTGAGCCACACCGGCCAGGCAGGGAGCCCTTCTTAGTAGGTATCTTGTTTCTCAGGGTCCACACTAGTTAGCAATTCTTTGAGTGCAAGAATTACAGCTTGTGGTTTTTGCTTTTCTTTGTTCTCTCCAGACCACAGTTTGGGTTGCTAATCAAATCTGTGTCTCTCTGGAATTTGAACCTTTAAGACCCTAGATGAACTTTTCATTTGTTTTAGGGCCTCAAGTCTTTATTAGTTAACACAACAGACAACCTTTCCAAATGACATGGCCACACTCACCTTCAGTGCTAATGGAGCACCACTCCCTCACACTCAAGCCTATGAGGTGTAGGCGCCTTGTACCTATGGCCATCTTCCTCATTTGAACCTGACCATCCTGATGCCCAGGGAGGGAGACCTGAAGATGCAATTTGACTGCTGACGGTGCACTGGATGCCGAGAGTCAGGCTTTGTGCCCAGACCCCTCCCCTTCTCCAGCTGCACGCCTCCCCGGGTGACCTCACCCAGGCTCAGGACTTGGAACACCCTCCATGGGCTGATGACTTCACATTTGTATCTCCAGCTCCAACCATCCCTCTGATTTCGGAGCCTTTATCCAGCAGCCTCCTCCACCTTTTTACTTGGGCATATCACAGCCATCTCAGACTGAACTCCACCGACGGGAGCCCCTAATTTCACCATTTCCTGTATCCCTTTCAGCCTTCTCTGCCCACAGACTCTTCATTTCAGGAAATGACAGTTTGGGCCCCAAACATGGACTCCTTTCTTTCTTTCAACCCTCACATTCCATCTATCATGAAGTCCTGCCAATGTCATATTTTTAAATAGATTCAGAACCTTATTGTCACCACACACACGG